AAATGTTGCAAAGTGTAAAGCTCATCTTTTTTTTGGGGGGGGGGGGCAATTTGGGTTATGCAATTTTCAATCTCATGCAAAAGATATTTTAAAATTGAGTTTCTCCCTGAATTTCATAATGTTGCAGGGTAGAAAACTGCACAAAGAAACACAGTTTAGGTAGTGGGACACTAATCAAACCAAGTTAATTGGGTTGGAAACTACTGATGTTTAGTCTGAATATTACATACAGTATTTGCAAGAATTCGGTTACAAAATTTCTAAGCATTATTTTGTAAAGGACAGAAATAATTATGAAATGGCATTTAGGAGCATTAGACACCAAATTTGCCGATACCGTGTCTCCTAGAGCTGATCAACCCACTGAACCATTTATAAATTTAAATAAATAAGCAGTAGTCTAACCTAAAGATTACTTTAACAAAACATGCTCATATAGTGCAAGAAGCTTTGGCTCCAGAACTTCCATTCTAGGTTTTTATCTTATATCTTTGAACTGCAGAAAAATTTCTCCCATTGGAAGGTATTTACAGAGCAGTAGCATCAGTATTGATAACAATGACGGTTATCAGCATCATCATTTAATCAGATATATCCTTTTCCTGCTCATCCTAAACATCACAGCAATCAGTAAAGCACTGAATAATTATATGAAATATTATCAAATAAAAAGAGTTTATTTATTAAAATCACATTTTGGTCAGTATCCAATTTCTAACCTAAAACACTAAAGACTAGATAATGTTGTTTCATTAGGCCCCTGTGATAAATGCCTACATCTTTCATCCTCCACAACCTCAGTTTACAATACAGGCTTTCCAATAGAAACGTTTGGTCTTATACAACACAAAATGCTCTATTAGTAAGTGGTGAAACTCCCCCTGCCTATCAAAGCTATGTAATATACAGTGTGCTATATGCCAGGAAGTACAAGAAACACATCATTCATGTAAACAGACACTAACACTTGAACCACCAAACTGCATATTTGATACTGTGTGTGACAAGTCTGTTTTTATGCAAGTGTTGGGAAATAGATAAAATAGAGTTTTCTTCCTTCAAGCCTATGTGTGTGTGTGTGTGTGCATGTTGGTTCTGTTAGCTCAGCTTGAGCATATCTCACACCTCCTGTGTTTCAGGAGGCCTGGTCTCCCTGTGAGGACTGGGCAGGTGCTAATTGGGCCTGAAGCTTCTGAATGGAGCAACCTGCCGTGAATGACAGTGAATGACGTAGAGCAAGTTGCCTGATGTGATCCATGTGTGTTTGTTCAGGGTGTCTATGGAGCATCAGCATTATCACAGCTCAGCATAAACACACCTCCCTTCTTTGTACTGGTGTTTGTATCAGTTAAATAGACCTCTTGCTTTGTCGCAGACTGAAGGATGACACCCCTTTGGGAATGATGCAAATCCACTTAGTCACAGGTCCCTGAGTGGAGCAGAAGACACATAAAGAGGGTGAAAGAAGGGAATTAAACCAACATAACACCCAGCTGCTAAGTGTGTTAGCATCTATGAAAGGAGGCAGGTGGGGAGAGATTTAATGACATAGGGTTTGTGTATGTTTGTTTCAGCATATTATCAGTATGAAACATCTGCTCTTTTTAATCTGTGCCAGCCTGTAGGCAATAGTTCATTTACTATGGGTAATCCCCATACAGGGCCAAGACTCAAACCTACATTTAAGCCCACACAACTGAGGAGATCTTAGAAGAAAAAGAAAATACATCAGATGAATAAACAAAAGTCCTCTCTC